CTCTGTTACCCAGGCTGGAGTGCAGTGGTGCAATCTTGGTTCACTGCAGCCTCTGCCTCCCAAGTTCAAGTGATTCCCCTGCCTCAGCTTCCTGAGTAGATGGGATTACAGGCGCCTGCCACCATGCCTAGCTAATTTTTTGTATTTTTAGTACAGATGGGGTTTCACCATGTTAGCCAGGCTGGTTTCACATTTCTGACCTCAAGTGATCCTCCTGCCTTGGCCTCCCAAAGTGTTGGGATTATGGGTGTGAGTCACTGCCCCTGGACTAAACTAACATTATTGGGGGAAAAAAAATCCTGATATTCACTTTGGCATTAACTGTTTTCATCTGGAATGAAGAGATGACTTGCTCATGTTCCTGGGCAGAGCTTGTGTAGACCACATGAGGCACAGACGCATTCCTAGCCAGATGGCTCTTGTAGATGGTTACCCCCGACTCACCAGGCCATGGAGCATCTCGTAGAGGACTGCTCCCAAGCACCACCAGTCCACTGCCCGATCGTAAGGCTCTTTCCGAAGCACTTCAGGAGCCAAGTACTGTGAGAAGGGAAATACACTTATTTGAAATGTCATTAAGCCTCGGTGGCCTCATCTGTAAATAAGGCACTTGGAGGAAGATCACGAGGAGCTGCCCCTGCTGTGATGTTCTGTGGCTGTGCATGTGTTCATTCATCCACCATTCACCAAAGGCCTGCTCTGTGTAGGGCCCTTTGCCATGTGTTGGGGACATAGTAGAGGTCAGCCAGGACTGCCTTGTGCAAGACACATGCTGCATACAATGCAAAAGCACCAGCCAAAGGGGTAAAGGGGGCTGCCATCGTGGCTGATCCATCTACCAAGCCGCAGCCCTAGTTCAGAGGTATTATCTGGCAACTTTATTTTTGTTTCAAGGGGTGCTTCTTCTGATTAGTCTGCCCGGAGGGGATGCCTTTTTCTATTTATGCAAAGGCATTCAACAGGCTATCCGTGTCCTGGGAATGGAAGGCCCTGGGAGTACTCTCAAGGTGCGATGTGGAGTCTAGTGTGAGTGTAAGTAAATGCGGCGTATCCTTGTGCTGGAAACCCTAGGGTCAGAGGAAAGGGTCAGGAAGGAGCGGGGACCCCTAAGCTCATATTGATAAGTGAATGCACACCATGCCTCTATGCCTTGCATACAAAGAGACAAAAAATGGCTTACTGACTTCTTAGCCTGGGGTCCTTGCCACTGAGTTGGGGGCAAGGTCTCAGCAACAGGAAAAGCCACACTGAGAGATTGTGTGGGTCTAGGAAAGGGCAGAGTCATACAGACCTGAGCCCTAGTTGGTGTGTGGTCTCAGGCAGGTCATTAAATCTCTCAAAAGCTTGGTTTCCTTATCCAAAAAATGAGGATGCAGAATCCCTCCTAGGTGCTGTTCTAAGATGCTAACATATGTGCTGGCCCACCAACAATGGGACCAACCATGTCTACTCCTGCCTGTGCCCCCCAACACCATGGCAGTGGCTGAGTCATGGTAAAGGTGACATTTTGGGGCCACATGTCTCCTACATGAGCTGGGGTTCCATATCCTCTGCTCCCATCCCTAGCAATGTCCACGGAAGGGATGGCTGGGCTGTCAGGCTTCAGGGGGCTGGCTTTATCCAGCAAACACCACCCCCTATACACAAACGGACAATGGCTCCTGCTCAGAGAGGTCATTCGACCATCAGCCATGCTAGAGCCAAAGTGAGGAGGCCATTAGATCTAAGACCCAGCTTTTCCAGCATGTGGAGAAAAAGAGAGCAGCTGAGGTCCTGTCTCATGCCAGGTGGGGAGGAGCCTCCCAGTCTGTAGCCTCAGCCCTCCAACCCTCACCCTGACATCTGTCTAGCCACTGGGGACCCCTTCAGGTCCAAGGTCTAAGGTCCAAGATTGGTGGGAGTTCAAAGAAGGGTTTTAACTCCAGGGCTGCAGAGAGACCTTGGCAGGACATAGACATGTCTGAATGACTGCAGAGATCTGCAAATTGTAACCTTCCGGGCTCTTGGCAGCTGGAAGAGGGACATGGACCTGTCTTAATTCACAGGCCAGGCCCTCTTGTTGCATGTGGACTTCACCCTGCAGATCAGTGCTGTCCAATACAGCAGCCACTAGCCACACGTGGCTGTCGAACACTGAAAATGTGGCTGCTCCAAAATGAGATGGGTTATAAGTGTAAAATTCACACCAGATTTCCAAGACTTAGTTAGAAAAAAAAAAGGAATAAAATATTTCAACCATTTTTATACTGATGGCATGCTGAAATGAGAATATTGGATATATTGGGTTAAATAAAATACGTCATTAAAATTAATTACACCTGTGACTTTCTTACTTTTTAAATGTGGCTGCTGGAAAACTTTAAATTGTATATGTGGTCTGCATTTCTATTTCTTTCTTTCTTTTTTTTTTTTTTGGAGTCGGAGTTTCGCTCTTGTTCCCAGGCTGGAATGCAGTGGCGCAATCTTGGCTCACTGCAGCCTCTGCCTCCTGGGTTCAAGCGATTTTCCTGCCTCAGCCTCCCGAGTAGCTGGGACTACAGGCGCACGCCACCACGCCTGGCTAATTTTTAGTAGAGATGGGGTTTCACCACATTGACCCGGCTTGTCTGGAACTCCTGACCTCAGGTGATCCACCTGCCTCGGCCTCCCAAAGTGCTGGGATTACAGGTGTGAGCCGCCGTGCCTGGCCTGCATTTCTATCTCTATTTCTACTGGATGGCACTGTGATAGAGCTTCACCAGCGGCTAGCTGTCTGGGTCTCAGCAGTTCTAGAGCTAGTGCCCTCATTACACAGATGAGGAAACCAAGGTTCAGTGTACAGCCAACTGGAGAAGTGCTTGGGTCAAAGGAGTGAGTCCCCTCCACTAGAACCTGTTGGCTCTAATCAGGAGCTGTGGCCTCACCCACTTATGACCTGCTCTCTGCTGGGATGCTTGCGCTTACCTCTGGGGTACCACAGAACGTGGATGTGGTCTTTTCAGGCTCTACGCCTTCCTTGCAGAGGCCAAAATCTGTCAGCACCACGTGTCCCTGAGAATGAGGGAGGGCATGGGCTGGAGGGTGCTATGAGCCAAAGGTATGGCCAAGCCTAACCCCAAAGCCCAGATGCCATACCCCAGAGCAGTGGCTGTGGGATCTGATGCCCAGGCATGGACTGGAGGCTCCACTCCAACCCAGAGCTCCTGGGCTGGATGCCAGGAGCACCACAGGGGGCCAGGTGGGCACATGGCATTCCATTGTCTGCCCACAGCTCATCACAGACTCAGATCTACCCCTATACCAGTGGCAGTTCCAGGATGTCCTTCTGGATGGAAACCCCCTAGGCAGAGGCTGGGGACTCAGAAAGCAACCACACCTTGTGGCAGCTGGGCAGGAAGGTACAGTGAGTAGATACTATGGGGTTCTGCCCGGATCCCGTCTTCTGAAACCATGGTACAGAAGAACTATGCCTATGCCCATCCCCCTGCTGCTAGGACATTGCCCGCACCCAAAGTTATGCCCCTCCCTAGGAGCAATCCATGTCCAGGGACACAAGGGCCCATCCTCTTTCCCTCAGTTTGGGACAATCCTAGACAGCTTCCCAGCTCAGGCCCTCCCCACCCCTGCAAGATCAGCTGAGGCCCCACCTGCAACCACAATGCAGGTGAGCTGCTTCCTCTGCCCAATCCTGGTTTTTTTCACCCCTTTAAAAGTGCTGTCTCTTGAGAGTGTTCCCCAATAAGGCTTCTGCCTGCTCTCCATCTCACAGTCTGTTTCCATGGAACCCAGTCTAAGACAAAATCCACCAGCCTCCACCTGGCTCCGCCTGGCCCCCTACAGACCTTGTATACATGCATACATGCATGCACATATATATATATATATATATATATATGTATACACATGTACAGTCTCATGTGCACAGGGTGTATATATGCATGCGTGTACACGTGCATGGGCACACACATGCACACATATATGCAAATGACTCCTCTACCTATATGCATGCGTGTACAATGCACGCACACCCATGCACACAGACTCACGGTCAGATAGTGTACCTGTCCAACATTGTCCCTACACACACACACACACCAACCTGGCAGTCCAAGAGAATGTTCTCTGGTTTCAGGTCTCTGCAGGAAATAAGAGAAAAGAGCCTTGAGGTGTCTCGGCTGTTTAGTGAGGAGAGTTGTAGACCTGAGGTCCTGGCAGGAGAACTATTCATGGAGATTTCCAGAGATGCAGAGGTAGAGCCCAGGCAGGCTGGGCACTTGGACCTCAGAGGAGGAGACTCCCACCCCACCCAACACAAAGGACCAAGCCCACCAGGATTTCATCAGGATTTCGGGTCCACACAACCCCTAGCAAGAAGGGCCTGGTCCTGGCTCTGAGCCACAGGCAGGCCTCACCTGTAAATGATGTTGAGAGAGTGCAGGTAGCCAATGGCGCTGGCCACCTCTGCGGCGTAGAACCTGGCCCGGGGCTCCAGGAACCGGCGCTCCCGCTGCAGGTGGAAGAAAAGCTGGAGGGGAG